AAGCAGGCTTCCCGCTGAGCAGGGAGCCCGATGCGGGGCTCGATCCCAGGACCCTGGGATCATGACCTGAGCCGAAGGCAGACGCTTAACTAACTGAGCCACCCAGGCACCCCTAAGTGGTACCTTTGTAACCTGGGTGCTAGCATGCTGGGACCGCACAGGAAAGTTACTTGCTGAATCCCAAGCCAGGAGGAGAGGTACCATGGTGTCTGTACAGGAGAAGAGTTTTCGTATCTAATTGGGAAAGAGAAAGTCTGTAGGTACGAATCACTCCTCGAGGCAGTAGGAGATTTGGAGGCAGACAGACACGGACTTTCAGCTTTGCCCCTGATTAGCCAATTAACTCTGAGAGCGTGAGCAATTGAGTTTGCTCCCTAATCCCCATCTGGAAATGGGGATCATAATATTTAACTAGCACTTATTTAAAAAAAAAAAGTACAATAAACATGAAAAAAAATCTATCACCTGGCTTAAAGAAATGCAAAATAAAAGAATAATGAGGCGGCGTTTTTTGCCTTTCAGAATGGTAAAAATTTAAAATGGAAGTCAATTGCCAGTGTCGACAAGGGGTAACGTTAGACAATTTGATAATCTACACACTCTGGGGCAATATTGACCGCCTCTGGGGGGTTGGCAAGGGAACAGAGCTGGAAGAAAAACTTACTTTTCACATGTTCCCTTTTGCATCTTTTGCATTTTGTATTTTACACATATATTCCTCTTTTAAAATAATTAAAATAATTAAAATAATTTCAAGAATAAAATGTATATTCTTTCACCTAATCATTTCATTTTTAGAAATTTGTACGAAAGGAATCATCACAGAATGGTGCAAAAAAGCAGGCGCTACAATATCCATTGTAGCAAAATTTATAAAAGGGAAAAAAAAAGAACATGTAGATTAAACAGAGAATAGTTACTCTGTATCTTTTAAAATCATACAGCAGAATTTTTACTGACAGTGTTAAGGACATGCTAGTAAGGGACAGCACCAACTGAAAAGTCATTAATTACAGGATCTCGTTTTAAAATAAAATAGATATCATACATGAAAGTATGTATCCAATCTTCAAATTGCATACATTAAATATGTACTGCTTTCGTGTATCAATTATACTGCAATAAAGCTGAAAACAAGGTGCGTGCAGGTACACAGGCTCAGAAGAATGGACCACAAAGTCTAACAGTGGGTAACAATCCCTCCGTGTTAGAACTAGTGGTGATTTTCATTTTCTTCTATTTGCATAACCATGTTTTCTAATTTTTCTCCTCCATTCCTGTATGTTCATTCACTCACTCACTGCACCGTTTTGTGAGTGAGCTGAGCAGTGCACTAGCCCCCGTGGGTACAACGGGCAGTGAAAACGGAACGGCCTGTCTTCGTGGAGGCATGACCACATAATGACCAAGTTGTGACACTGACTGGCAGGTGTGTGAGGCTGGGGGCCGCCAGACAGGCTTCAGCAGAGGCGTCACAGAGGGTCCCTGGGAAGAGACCAGGTGCACCGAGACCTGCCGAGGAGCGTGAAGGGAATCCTGGCAGGAGCCACAGTGTGCCCAGGCTGCAGGAGGGACCTGGGGGCACCTGAGGACCCGAGCCAGTGTGGCCCACGAGGATTCCGGGAGCCGGTCAGCAGGGCTGGACTACATGGGCACCTTGCCAGCCAGGTTAGGAAGTCCTGCTTTCTCCTAGAGCCCCGACAGCCACCCAAGGCTTTTAAGCCTGGTGTCCTACAGGATGTGGTTTATATTGAGCAAAGATCGAGCCACTTGTCACGTGGAGAGCAGATTATTTACGTGTCCATATTTTGTTTTTAGGGAAAAAGCTGTGTGCAGAGTTGCTGTGACAGCCAGAGACCACAATTCTCAGGAGCTAATATAACAAAGTTCAGGAAAAGGTACAATTATTCTTTTCTGTGCGTGAGGGCCCTGGGACTTACTTTTTTTTTTTAGACATTATTTTTT